AAAAAAAAAGAAAGTGAGGAATAGGAGTCTTTACTGGCAGTTAATCCTGCAGGGATGGCAGCCTATACCATGTGCATGTTTTAACTTCCTATAAAAATATGGGATGAGCTTTGAGACAAAACATATTATAATGAAAAATATTTTGCTTCTTTGGAAAACTCCAATGTAAAAATGAAAAAAAAATATCTGTCATTTATAAAGGATCACAAAAGCTAGAAAAAAGTTGTATTCTCTCTTTTTTTTAGCACTATTGTTAGTTACCTAAAAGATGCTTTTATTATTGAGGGGAGGGGGAATTGGGGGTGGGGAAGCCCTGTGTTTCAAACACTTGTATCAGTCCTCTCACGTGGGTCCAGTCCTGGAGCCCTTCTAGAGCAGAAGTCTGATGAGAGCTGTGCTGGGCCATCTGACTGCAATATGTGTACATTGGTTTCTTTAGGGACAGCTGCTGTGGATGTTCTAAAGGCATACCATGAGGGGAAAAAATGTATATGTGGAATATACATCAACCTGACCATGACATCCTACATAAATGACACATCCATTCTAATGAGCTGGCAGTTGACGCAGATAATATACATCGAACCTATCCATGTGCACATTTATAATTGCACTGGAACAATTTGCCCCCAGAGGGTACATGCGAGAGTTGTGTGTGTGTGAGTGAATGAATGTGTGGGGGGATGGGTGTGTGTGTCTGTGTTTGTGAGTGTGTATATATGCATGCTGGGAATGGCGGGAGGGGTGAATGAGCAGAGAGGGAATTTTACAGCCAAAAGCTACTTCGGTTTTTCTCCAGCTCCACACTACTGAATGAGATGAATTTCTTTCTGTTTTACACATAGATTTTGCCAACTGTGAGAGAAGATTCTGGCTTCTTCTCCTGCCATGCAATCAATTCTTATGGGGAGGACCGTGGAATAATTCAGCTCACAGTGCAAGGTAGGAAGAAGACACATAAGGGAAAGGATACAGTCATTGCAGGACAGGAAGCATGTGCCCAGCTTTTGCGTCTGCGTGGCCTCAGCCTGCAGTGTAACATTTCCTAATTCTCAGAAAAGTTTGAACATGTACAAAGTCAGTGCAACCATGGTATTTTGCAGTGCCTGTGACTATACTATGCAAAATGCAGCCCCAAAACACAGGGAGCAAAGTTCTTAAGGGACTTGAGTCACATGACAAGGCAATGGTACTCTTGCCGAGTGCACAGCAGCTCAGTGGTCCACTTTCTTTGCTCAGTTCAAAGAATCCATATTGCAGACGATCAGAATGAAAAAGGAAGTTTAACATATGGTGTCAAAATATGTTTTGAGTTAGAGGTCCAAACTAGCATAGTGACATTTATATGCTCCAGGTTTGGCCCAGTTGTGCAAGTGCTATGAAAGTTGGATGTCTTGGAAAAATGGAATTTCTCCTCCCTAAATATGATCAAGAAAAAAATTGCTTCGCCAAAAAAGCATCTGTCATTATCTAATACTAACAAGTCATTTGTGAGTCATAGTCAGCGTTTCCAGGAGTTTTACATGTCTGACCTCTGTCTGCACTAACCCGGGGTCTTTCTGTTGATGGCACAGAGCCTCCAGACCCTCCCGAAATTGAGATCAAAGATGTCAAAGCACGCACAATCACGCTCAGGTGGACCATGGGGTTTGATGGAAACAGCCCCATCACGGGCTATGATATTGAATGCAAAAACAAATCAGGTAAGTCCTTTATTTCCTCCAGCTCTGTTTCCCCTTTGAAAAATCCTTTATTTTTCTTCTTCTGTATTCTCTTTACCTGTGAGAACACACCTCGACTCACGGGAGCATTTTCTGGCAGTTGGGCTACTTTCTCGCACGAAGTCCCTCTGGGCTTCCCCAAGTGGGGGTGGATGGAGTTTTGCATCAAGCTCTGCTCTTTCCTTTTGAGCCCGCCAGGACCTCAGTCTTGCTTCCCTCTGGCCTCTCCACCATTCCGGCCATGCATTGGCAGGCGGGCAGCTGCCCACAGAGCCAGGCCCCTGGTGCCACCTTTTCTACCTTATCTGCTCCTCTTCACCTCCCTGTCCCCAGGGGCGTGAGTGCATGGGAGCCCCTGTCCTATGACCTGTGTGTGGCATGTTGGGCTGGGCAGTTCCTTGCTGGTGTGTGTGGGAGCTGTGCAGTGGTGGTTTGTGCAGAGAAAGCAGAGCTGCTGCTCACTTTGCAGCCACCCCCTGCAGTGCCACAGCCTTCTGCTGCACCCAGAGTGCTCCGCCAGGCTGGGCCACTGCAGGTGTGCTATGGGTGACCACAAAGGGATACTGCCAGGGCCACTTTGAACTTTATGATCCTTCAAGCCGAGGGTAGAATATTACTGCCGTGGCTTCTAGTCAAAATATTTACTGTGTCTCATAAAAGAGATGAGGAATTAGAGCCCCGTCAGGGTGAGAAGGGTTAGTAAGATTCTTAGCGGCCACAAAGCAGCCTTATTTTTCACTTTCTGGGCACTGTTCATTACTACAGATGCACGTGGTGACCAATTTAGTACCCTTTGAGCTGAAGCTGTAGTAAAAAATCAAGCTCAAGGCAGCTGGAAAAGGCAGGTCAGGAGAAAGGAAATATTTCATACGGGGACAGACCAGATGGTGGTGTAAGGTGGGACCACAGAGATGCCACAGGGTGCCTAGTAAGGAATTTGGGAAAGTAGAATTTGGGGGTTAGAAAGAAGATGGATCCGATCAGGAGAACTAGTGTCCAAGACTTGCTAGATTGGAAATGCCTGTGAGAAAGACAGGTGGCTGAGCTCGCTGCCTCAGAGCCACAGCTAGAGACCAAGAACAACGGGTATGCACACCAAGCCGCATGGCTGCGGGCCACCCATGCCCTTTGGCACTGGAGCACACAGGGAGCCTCTCGTAATGGAGCAGTGTCTCTGCTGTCTTCAGGGAGGACAAGCCACTGGTAGATGCTGGGGACATCCATGGCTCAGGAAGGGGGTTTGGGGTCCAGCCTGTGCCAGATCTGCTGCAGGGCCTGTGTCCTACCAGCTGGGTGCCTTCTGCCACTCTCATCTGTGAAGTGGGACACCACCACATCTACCTCCAAGGGCTGAGGAGAGGAGCCCTCCCAGGCCACAGGCTGCCCTCTGGCTGGAAGGCCCCCCTTCCCTGGACCACACGGTCACCACCTGTCCTTAGATCCCACTTTACATGTGCTCACATGACTTCCTCTCCCTTTTATACTTGGCAGGTGCCATTACATGTTGTCATATACCTGTCCCTGTGGTTATGGATTAACGTACTGATAAATGTATCTCATCTCAACCAGACTGGAAGCTCCTTGGGACTCCCTGTTGTTGCTTTGTGTTGTTTCGCCCCCCACGGATTTGTCACCCCACTTCCCCTGGGTGATGGAGATGCAAATGATTACTCAAAGCCCATCTCTTCTGAGCAGTGAGAAGCCCCAAAGTGGTTAACTTCCCTGGGACTCTCCAGCGAGAGGCAATCCTTCCTCAGGAAATTAACCCTGAATTGGGGTTCTCTTCCTACATTTATTTTCCAGAACAGGAAGTCACAGGAAGAGACATAAGTGGGATTATAGTTTGACAATATGGGCTGGTAACTTTCAGTGAAACAAGCCAGATGACATTCCAGTAGACAATTAAGTGGTCCTATCAACAACAGCTTGATCTTAGCAAACATTCCTCTCCCTCCAGAAATTTTCCACTATCTATACATATCAAGCAGTAACTAATCTGTCTTTGAGCCAGCAACCTTGCTGTGTCACAATTCTTANTTTATACTTGGCAGGTGCCATTACATGTTGTCATATACCTGTCCCTGTGGTTATGGATTAACATACTGATAAATGTATCTCATCTCAACCAGACTGGAAGCTCCTTGGGACTCCCTGTTGTTGCTTCGTGTTGTTTCGCCCCCCACAGATTTGTCACCCCACTTTCCCTGGGTGATGGAGACGCAAATGATTACTCAAAGCCCATCTCTTCTGAGCAGTGAGAAGCCCCAAAGTGGTTAACTTCCCTGGGACCCTCCAGCGAGAGGCAATCCTTCCTCAGGAAATTAACCCTGAATTGGGGTTCTCTTCCTGCATTTATTTTCCAGAACAGGAAGTCACAGGAAGAGACATAAGTGGGATTATAGTTTGACAATATAGGCTGGTAACTTTCAGTGAAACAAGCCAGATGACATTCCAGTAGACAATTAAGTGGTCCTATCAACAACAGCTTGATCTTAGCAAACATTCCTCTCCCTCCAGAAATTTTCCACTATCTATACATATCAAGCAGTAACTAATCTGTCTTTGAGCCAGCAACCTTGCTGTGTCACAATTCTTATCATGCAACAGAGACTTTATAGCCTGAGGAAAATTTCCAATCCTCCACAAGGTCAATATTTGAAACTGCAAGGCTTTGAAAAACCAGGCCCTGTGAAGTACATATGCGTTTTAGTATATTCCACACCCTGTGCCTAGAAGGTCTATTTTCCCCCAGCCCATTTCTCCAAAACCTGTCTCTGCACCCAACATGAAAGGCCCTCAGTGGAAATTTGGCAGAAACACTTTAGGAAGAGAATACGTAAAACAATTAACCCACTGACTGCACAGTCAGCACCTAATAAGTGGTCGCTTTCCATGTTGCTCAATCATGTATGAAAATGCTTACAAGTAAAATACCTCTATACCACCTGTGTTAGTTAAACTACTTGTACAACCTTCAAAAACCTTCACTTATCTCCCCACAGTCCCATAAGTTTCCCAAAGACAGGGCTCTGATTTTGCCTAGATCCCCAGCACCTAGAACAATGGCTGACATGTAGATTGTGCAGTAAATATTTGCTGCACTTAATTTACATGCCATTGAAATCATCCAGGAATCATCTTTATTACCAACAATGTCTTTAAATGTACAAATTTCTCAGGTTCTACATAACCAGAATAAGAAAGCTCCTTATCTATAAAGCTGGGTAGAGTCAGGACTGAGGGATATTTTTCTATCCTTCACATTCTACCAGCAACCAGAGACAAGAACAACTGTGTGGAGAAGATGTTTATGCAGCCCTGGAGCAAGGCAGTTTAAGGGTGGGAATGAGCCCAGGAGAGTTATTTTAGAAAAGCCCATGGGGCAGGCAGGTCCAACCCCATGGCCAAGGTCTCCACCAGGGCCCCCCAGTACCTCCATCACTTTTAGTGTGAATGACCTGGGAGGAAGGAGCTATTCTGACAGCAGATAACAACTGTACTCAGTGCTATAAAAGGTGTGTTAGTTGGCATTTTCATGTATTACTTGCTTCCTCAATAAGTTTTTGGTGTATAAAAAGTATAACCATAATTTAAGTGAGTACAATTTATAGGCTGAGTACATGGAAAACTGATCCTTCAAATCATAGCTTAAATGCCACTTCTTCCAGGAAGCCTTCCCTGACTAACCACTCCCCTTCTCTACTTATAGCACCCTGTATGTTTGGAACACTTGGTGGGCTTCTGACTGTTTATTTAATACCTGCCCCCTACTGGGAAGTTCCCCATTCCCGAGGAGGGCCCTAGTGACCCCTGAAGGCAGGGACTGCATCTGGCAAGCCCTGCACTATGTCCCTGCACTATGCGCACTGCCTGGTGTACGTACTAGACTCATCATGAATATTAAGTGAATTCTTGACTCTCAAATACTGTTTTAGGCAATGAAGGAATCATCCCCAAAAGATGCTTTCCACTACCTCTTTTAATTTGCTAAGAAAGCAATATATTATTGGTGTATTAAAGCACTTCACGTTTTTAACAAAGAGAGCTCCTGCAAGTGACCTTTCAGTCTATGTTTGAATAATCCCAGAAACAGGAACTCATGAGTCATGAGGAAGCACAGTCCTGTCTTTGGCCTGTCCTGTGACTGCTACAAGTTCTTACATTTATTACACCAAAATAGACCTTCCTGGCCTTCTTCCAATGGCCCTCTTCCCACCTTTAAACGCTTTGGCCAAAAGATACCCCTTCAGGATTTGAAGACAGATGACTTCCCTTGGTTTGCCAGGAAAAATTAAAATTCCCAAGACCCTTTACTGGTATCTCCTCCAGCCATCTCCTGACCCTCCCACCCTGGCCATGCCCAGTGGCGATACCCAAGGTGTCGTCTGACCAGGCACAAACACGGTGGAGGTATGCCGCCCTCGTTTTAAATATTCCTCTTCTCTTCCTATTCTGCAATTGCACGGGTTGCTTTGGTTACTACATTACCTGGTTCCTAGTGACCACAGCTTCTCCTCTACATGACACCAAGAGCCCCTTTAACAATCCCTTCCAGCATCCGGTCCTGGTGACCCTCCGGCTCATCAGCCTGTAGTCTGTTACACCCACCTCCTTCCCTCCCCTTCTTTGGAACACAGCCAGCCACGTCCCCATGTCTGTTCTCCTGGTGCCTCTCCCCTCTCCACATGCCTCACAGATCTTTGAATGGGCTTCAGTCCCTTGAAAAGCTCCCTCGCATCCTGGAATGTACCCATCCAGGCCAGGAAGCACAAACTCTCTTTAGCAGGTGGGTGGATGTCTCTTCATGCCCTTCTCCTCTCTCAGACTTCCTGACCCCATTTTAATTATACACAAGGACTATTATCCTTGATGGAGAAGAAGACAGAGGGAAAGGGGCTCCTGTCTCCGTCTGCCTCCCTCCTGTTAGCCAGTGCAGTCGGCCTGGTCCTTCTCTGCACTAACTCTTAATTTTTAAGCCTTTTTTGTAATTCTGTCTCCAGAACTGTCAGTCACTCTCAGTCGTTCTGGTCCTTGGCCTCTAACAGCCCTTCTGCAGACCAAGTCTGCCCTCTTACATTTGTCCTTGATGATCTGCTCTCCTCCAGACTTGGGGCATCTAACCCCCTGAGCTCCCAGCGAGCACCCAGAACAAGCACGTGGGCTCCTCATGGGAATTGCAGAGGCAGGTGTGGGACTCTGAACTTCCCTGGTCTCTTCTCCCACTGGCCCTCTGGAGCAGCCACGGAATCCTGCCTCCTTTTTCAATGAATGCTTCTGACAGCTCCTTTCTAAAGCAGGCTACAGGTGTGACCTTGTACAGCCCTCCTGGTCTTCCTCAGAAACCGCAGGTGTTACAATAATTCTTGGCCGAAGTTCCCCTCCCTTGTATGTGACCGAACTATTTCTCCTCATGGCACCTTCTCACCAGTAAGCCAAGTCGGGGCTTGTCTCAAGGTCTTCTTCTAAGCATAGGATACTTTCAGCAGGTGTCTGGAAAGATTGAACTCCAGTCTCATTAGGTGTCCTCAGAGAATATGTGAAGGTCATTTGCTATAGGAAAATGACCTTGAGCTTGGGGATAACACAGGTGAGATCAAATCCCAGTCCCACTTCTTATCGGCTATGTGACAGGGCCTGAGTTTCTTGACCTCAACAATGAAAATAAAAACCCCTACCTCAGCAGGACGTTTAAGGATTCAATCAAATAAAACACTTTGTCCAAACTTTAGCTGTCTATCAGAATGACCTGGACAGTGAAGCTTTTTAAAAGCACAGGTTTCTGGGCACCATTCCCCAGAGATTCTGATTTAGTAGGTCTGAAAACACAGTTGTCAAAAAGTTCCACGGTGTTCCCAGTGTGCCCACAGATTTAGGGACTGCAGAAGTCACCTTTGTAAAATGCCTAACACAGTGCCTTGATAGGAAGATGAAATTGCAGACTGAAATACACCTAGAGCCAGTAAGAATGTACTGTGAACACAATGAAGGGACTGTTAGGAGTACATCGCGAGAGAAACGTATGCATGGGAATCCCAGAGCCAAGGCGGCAGGTGTGAATGCGGGTGTTGGGGCAAAGCCATGGACGGGGGACAGGCATGGGATTCACAACAGGTCTTCTGGCCCAGTGAAGAGAGTGGAGGGTGGTTGTTAGAGGCAGAGGGCAAGTGTACCTTCAAGGAGGGTTTACACGTCCCACTGGGAGATTGTGTAACAAGGGTACTATACTGAGGAGGTGTGGACTGGGTTAAAAGAACCTGCAGTGGACGGATGCTGGGGGTCCCAGCAACTAGACTGACAGGGGGCTGTCCCCTCCCTCTTCTGGCTCTCAGTCACCTTCAGACACATTCTCCAGGGAAGATGGTGGTGTCTTCTCTGGCCTTTTCAGTTCCAGAAACCTCTGTATTCCTGAGCCGAGCCATTACTCCCCACAGCGCCCACTTCCTCCTGGGGCTACTTAGCAAGTGTCTGTCTCTGTGTCCCACAGTGCCTGGAGTTCTTCCCATTGTGCCCAGTGTCTTCTCCAGAAGGCCTGGCTTTTCCTCTGCAGGATGAAGATCGTGATTCTGTGTCATTCCATCACTGAAAATCTGTTGAATCTGTTGAACAACATTCCTCATCCCTTCCAGCATCTGATTTTTTTTGCCACATCTTCTCTTCCATGACATGCCACCATCTCTGCTCTTCTTGACTCAAAAGATGCTTTTTCTTTTATATGCAATATTAATTGTCGGTTTCTATTATGCTTCTTTGCCTGAGAAGTTAGAGCACTCGAAAGCTGTCTTTAAGCCGCAAATTTTTTCTTCAAGTCCAGAAAGTGCCTTGCATTTTTTGTTCACTTCTGGACAGATCAGCTTCCTCAGCATCACTAAGATGACATGGCAGTGGCACCATTCCCAAGACTCAGAGGTCTGTGCACTTGCCATTTACCTGTTTGTCTATTAGCCACATGTTTATGGTTTGTCTGCTATGTGCCAGGCACTGTGCTAGCACCAGGGATACAAGACTGAGTAGGGTGACTGTGGCCTCTGCCCTCAGGGGGCTTAGAACCCAGTAGGAAACACAGAATACCCTTTAGAGACTTGCAAGTGTGACGGCACCACAGACAAGGACACAGTGGATCATCTCCATCCACTGTCTCAGGGCTTCTTTGTTATACAAGCAACACTAGCTTTTCACCACCTGTCCCCAATCTGCAACTTCCCATATTCTATTGATATAAGAACCCTTTACTGAGATCCTCATCCTTTGATGAAACCCTAAAGTCACCAGGTACAAACTGTCACAGAGTCAATAACTTCACACAGGTGCTTTTGTTAAAACTAGCTGTGGTTGAAAAATAATGATTTGAGACTAAATGATTTAAAATTAGAGTTGAGAAATATGCTTGGTAAACAGTGTTTATACTGGAAATGGAGATTGGATTGTATGGGATTATTTCATTTTTATCATTTCTGTTTGAGGAAGAAAGGAGCTAACGTGGCTAGAGGTTTTGCTCGTTTTCAAATTCTTTGTAAAACTAGGGGTGTCGGGGGAGTGGGGAATGTCCGTACCATACTGGCTTTATTGTCCTGCACAATGAGGGTACAAGCAGCTGTTTCCCACTCCACGGGCACGGGTCCCACCAGCTGTATTTCTGTTCCATTATCTCCCTGTCACTGTTCTGTGCTCCCTCGGCTTGCCTGCTGCCCCTTGTCCCCACAGTGTGGATAATGAGTGTGTGATGTTGCGTCCCCTTTGATGGCCAACTCTGCCGGAAAACAGTGAACATTGCATTGAGAATTCACTTTGGCTGTCATTTTTCGTTCTCTCCTTTCTTTTTTCTTTTTTTTTTTTAAATTCCTACTTGTGAACTTTCAAAAGCAGAGGGAAAAAACTCACATCTCTATCTCTTCTTTTTTGAAAAACAAAACCCCAAAGACTCCTGGGATTCTGCTCAGAGAACCAAAGATGTTTCCCCTCAGCTGAACTCGGCCACCATCATTGATATCCACCCTTCCTCCACCTACAGCATCCGCATGTACGCCAAGAACCGGATTGGCAAGAGCGAGCCCAGCAACGAGCTCACCATCACGGCAGACGAGGCAGGTAGGTGGGCTCTCGTGGGGGGCTTCGGTGCTGCCCCCCAGGGCTGAGCCAGTGGAAATCACAGGCAGTGCCCTGCCTCCCGCTTGGAAGGCACTTCTCCTCAGTAGGACTCAGTGCCAGGTTCTCATATCCAAGACTTAAAGACATATGAAGCTAACAACTTGGCCAGATTCAAAGAGTCACACTACTTTACAACTCCTTTGCTTGGATGCATGGAACCCAGGTTGATAAGAGAATCATGCGGGCATTTTTTGCATGAGACCCGTGAGGTCTAGTGTGGAATGAACAAGGAACACTTAGCTAATGGCACGAGTGCCTTCTTCATGGGGGAAGAAAGGGGGGTACAGATTATTTTATTAGCTAGAAACAATACTCAGTAGAGACATTCCTGATGAGAAATATTTTTATAATGTTTATAATATTTTTATAATAGTATAATATCTTTATAATAAGCTTTATTGCTCCTCCTCCTGTTACAAAGTATTTCATATTCAGCATTGAAAATTTAGGAGATTGAAATAAGGATTTTTGAAGAAGGCAAAACAGCTTCCATCATTCTCCCACCTAGAGCTAAACTAGGAACCTGCTCCTACAACCTGCTAAATCATGTTTTAACCTGTTTCATCACTCACACACATGTGTATGCACACTGAGCCACCACATGTGCACATGCACAAGTGTACACGCAACCCCTTAACACTGTGGTCTACATGTGGTTGGTTACTGGCAGGACATTGCTGGTTTGTAGAGGACTGAGCAATCAGGCAGTGGTCACAGGATGCTGATTGTCAGCTTACCTCCTAGCAGGAGGGGAGGAAGTCATGCCTTTGGTCTACTCTGAGGGGAAAAGGTAAGAAGCTAATTAATGCCTGTCTCATTTCTTGGAGGGAAAGGAGTATGCAGCCCACAACCTACCTTTTCTTTTCCTTCCAGCAGTCAGAGCTGATCAGCCACTCCCTGTTGTGGTGCAGGTGGAAGCTTATCTCAGATCCCCATTTCCATCACCAAGAGTAAAGTGATCATCATCCCCCGTGACTGGAGACTTGTTTCAGCTCTCACTGGGGTCATTCCCGACTTACTAACCACCATCTCCTTCTCGGTTACCTCATTAACATTGAGTTTGTACACGTATCTTTTAAATACTTTTCTACAATTTGTAATGGCATCTACCGCCATTTATTTAACAGACCCAATATTGTTAGACATGTCACTTGTTTTCAAGTTTTTATTAGTATAAACACCACTGTAATGAACATCCTTGTATATCTTTTACCATTTCTAAGATTTTTTATGTTAAATTCCAAGTATAATTGCTGAGTCAAATCAAATATAACATTTTAATTCTGTTGATAGGTGTAGTCAATATAGCCCTCAAGAGAATAGGTTAAAATGTACAATTTTTCCTGAACTACAGAGGAGTGCCCATTTCTCAATGCTGAGAGACATTAGTTTTTGAAAACTGTTTCAGGAGTGGGTGACTGAATGCCTTTTTGCTTAAGCGTTGGGGGTGAGTCATCTCTGATGCTTGGATACTCTCTTCCTTATCGTCATCTGCCGAAGCACATGACAGTGCCTTTCTTCTCCTCACACAGATACATTTGGTCATTTGCAGAAGCATTTCCATGTTCTACATGTACTTTGCATGTCTCAGAAATAACTGGAAAATGAGTGTTAAGATGCTCCTGCAAAAACAGAATCTTATTAAGTTTATTTAAACAACCCACTAACTTCCTGGGATTTCATTATGTGGGAGAATAAGCTGCCCCCATCCTTCAACCCAACATGCAATTTTTGACTCCCTGCTCAACCTTCTCCTTTCCTTTTCACCCCCTTTCTGATCCTGCCCCATCTTGACAACTTCTTAGGGCAACCACGTTTTTCCAGGAGTGATTTTGCAGCTGCTGTTCTGATTGCCATCATTAATGCTGCTGCTGTGGCTTTTCCTTTCGTTTCCTGTGTCCTCCATGCAGCTGGACGTTGCCATGGCAGCATCTCTCCCAGCCAGGAGGCCAGGTGAACAGCCCCCAGGGTGCCGGTCTGCAGGGCAGCTGCCTGGCATCTCTGCAAACCGGATGAAGCTGCTGCCTTGTTGGCTCCTGGGCCAGTCTTTTGGATTTTACCTGGGTGCAGGCTGCAGCAGCCCCAATGGCCACTCTCATTTTGTATGCAGATGAGCTAAGGTAAAATGCAAGGAAGAGAACAGCCTCCAGCAAAGGAAAGTGCAAAATAGAACCTGTCTTTGTCTTGCTGCATAGGTTTACATGACTGAAATGAAAAAGTCATTTTAGACACCCTCAGTAGAGTCGCTGGCAGTGGCTGGAAGAGGGCCCAAAGGCCCGTCTTTTTAGGAACTATAGCCATCTTGAGATGACCTTTCTTTATTGTTACTGTTTCTTTTTCCCCTAAATAAAAGATCATCCTTCAAGCAGTGAGAATCCTCAGATGGAAGCTTCTGGAATCTGTAGACCCCCTCATTTTTACCATAATGTAATGCCCAAGTCTCTGGCATGAGGGGCTATATGCTCCTCATATTTCTATCCCTTGTGTGTGTCTGAAATAAGGGAGATTGCTCAGTATGTGTGGGATAAATAGTTATAAATGTGTCTCAAAGGATTGTCTTTAGAATGGGCCTAACAATAAGCAGTGTGTGGGACGAGAGCATATGCTGGGAGTTAAACCCACACTGAGATTTTAAAGGACACTATAGTCTATATGTTTGTGTCCCTCCAAAATTCATATGTCGAAACCTAATCCCCAGCCTTTATGACCTAATTACTTCATAAAGGCTCCACCCTCATGAATTAAATTAATGCCCTTGTAAAACAGATCCAGTGGAGCTTGCTTGCTCCTTCTACCAGGTGAGGACGTGGGGAGAAGGTACTATCTGTGAACTAGAAGAGGGAGCCCTCACCGGACACCAAATCTGCTGGTGTCTTGATCTTGGACTTTCCAGCCTATAGAAATAAATTTCTGAAAGAAATAAATTTCTCTTGTTTATAAGCCACCAGTTTAGTGTTTCTTATCATAGCAGCTCAAAAGGACTAAGACAAAGGCTTCATAAAGAAAAGTAGACAAAGGCAAAAGGGTAGGGCTGGAAGATTGAAGAAAGACAAAGGAATAAGACCCACCCTTCAGATCTCCATCTGCCAGCTGTGGCAAGCACCTGAGCCTGAGGTTCCCGAATCCCGTCTTGCTGAAATGGGGCATGTCCCAGGTCATGAACCATAGCCCACAGCGGATCAAACCTGCAGATGTGTTTGGTTTGGGTCTGCCTAATGTTGTGCAAGACTTTTGCATCAAGTGTCAATATTTTAAATCTGGACATTTCAGATCAAAATGTACATTTTTATTTGCTCTTGAGTTCCTGCTTGGCAGCAGCCAGACGGAGTAAACTATGTTGCAGTTACCCTTTAGGTTGTCTTTCATTAGCCATCGTTCCTAACCTCCTTTCAAGTAGAGGTCAGCAAACTATACAGCCTGTGGACCAGATCTCACATACAAACTTAGAGTTGTGAATAGTTCTTACATTTTAAAAGAAGAAAATGTGACGTGACAGAGACTGTGTGTAACCCAAAAAGCCTAAAATAGTTACTATCCGGCCCTCTACAGAAAACGTTTGCAGATCTCTGATTTAGGTCTCATTACCATGGGAATTTCAGTTTTGGATCCCTGCTGTGCCCATTGCAAAGTTTAGTGAAGGAGAAATCTCTTCCATTTACATAGAGACCCTACCTAATGCTGGAAAATAACATTGTTCCAGTGCCGCAATACTGAGGGGGGTTTTTGTTTGTTTTTTGTTTTTTGTGGGTTTTTTTAATGTTAAAGTGCACAAATGCATTTATCATTACCACTTTAATATACTTGACCCCACAGAAAAGCCATGTAGCAGAAACCACATCATTTAGCACACTCTTCTCAACTCCCCCTAACAACCCTTGGCCTCCCAAAAAGAGAAGTCAAGAGAATAAGTGGAGACACTGTCAGAGTTAATGAGATCAGCTCTTAATGGGCCAAAAGTCTGCCTGACTCACCAGGTCCCTTTGACATGGATCAGCAAGTCACATCCTCATCTGACCCTCACCAAAGACCAACTTCCCCATTAGCAGCTGCACCCTGAATGTCACGTGTCACTTAGTGCCTTGTGACCGAGTTTGAGGTGGCTGATCCTTTCATCATTTGCATTATGAATCTGTGCATAGAACATGGAAGTTCAATTAGGCAGGAACTCATCGAAAAACCACTGAATTTTCACAACCCATCAGAGAACGGGAAGATCTGATCTGCATTATGGAAGGTTTACAACACAGAGTCATTGGGTTTCCAATGGATCTGCCCTGGGTGTCCTTGTGTCATCTTCTATGACATTCCAGAGCTGCAGCTCTGACCTGAAAGAAGAGTTTTCTGTGTGCTGAGCTGGAGATGAGGAGAAGAGGATATAGTGAGGGCTGATGGCATGAACATGTAAAATAAGCACGGGGATAGCGGTGCACATTAGGGACAAGTGTGGCATTGGTATACTGTCAACGAGAGAGTCAAATGCACAGCATCCATCCAGAGAGAAGAACCAGGCGCGCCCACACCTGTGAAGCCTTCAGCAATCTGCTTCGATAGTTCATTGCCATTCCTGTCCATCTGTGGTTTGGAGAAACTTTGTAAATTAAACCTAAAGAAATCATTGGCCTCTTTGCTGTTCCTCATATGCACAGAGAATACACCTGCCGGCTATCCTGGCGTGTTCTGGAATGGTTTGAAATGACCTTTCCTCTTCTCCCTTACTACTTTCAAATCTTTGCTTGCATATCATCTTCTCGGTAATTCCTATCCTGAGCACCCTATTAAATTGCAGCCCACTGCCCACTCTGACATGCTTGATCTCCTCCTTCCCTGAACACTCTAGTTTTTAAAAATGGCATGTATCACCACCCAATGTACTGTATGCGTTGTTGGTTTATTTTGTTTATGGTCTGTTTTTAGTCTCTTCCCACAAGGTCAGGAGTTTT